GTTGTCACTGAGCTGTAGTAATATATGTCTACCCCAACCTGGTGACAAAGCATATGTTCATAATCTTACCTCAGAACATTTGTCAGTGTCATGTTGTAAAAGGAGGCTGAGAACTTCCAAATTTTTCTTGTTATTTCCAAAATAAAAAAGCATTATTAGTGCTACAGCTAGAGCTGCAGAGTCAGGAACACAGAGTCAGGAATCTCCTAATTAATGAAGAAATTAGTTGAGGGAGGGGAAGGAGTTGGTAAATACCTGTTTGCAAAAAAATAAACATTTTCCTGGGAGCTTTCACAACTTGATCAAACCTTTGTGAACAAAGATCTGGACCACAGAGATAATTTCTCACTCAGTGATAAAATTATTTTTATATTCTGGAGTAAATAAGTCAGAAAGAGACTTCAGGATTCATTGTTGAAGTTTTAAAATGGGAAACTATCAAAAAAACAGATCTGAATGCATAACTGGTCATATGTCAGTTGGATGGTATAAACAGCAACCTGGGAAAAAGCTATCTTGCTCTGGAAGTATCCCAGTAACTGCACAGGGTTACTGCTCTAGCAATATTTTATGCAATTCATAATATAAATAAAGTGATATGAAAAAGTCTGTTGTCACAGATATAAACACTTCAATCTACCAAGCTCTATAATTATTTTTCATTCATTAAATTAGGGCCAAATCAAAATGTCTTGCTCAAGAGCTGAAGAAGAGAAATATTTCAATAAATGGGTTTTTTTTCTGTCTTCAGCACATTCAAAAATCTGCAGACGCTAATTTCTAGTAAGTGGTACAATGAAAGTCAGTGGAACAAAAACACTTTACAAAACAAAGAAACCAGACAAACCGTAGGTCTTTTCTGTTTCCTTATGGACATAGACAGATTTCTGAATGACAGTGACTGCAAAAAGATTGGTCTGGTTTTATAAATCACCTGAAAACCAAAGCAAATATGATCCTTAAAAGGACAAGTCCTATCAAAGAGTGACAAATCAGTTTTGAATAGAACCTCAAAATGTGACTCTCATTGAAACACCACCAGAGTTCAGTGAGAGCATACTCAGACTGAACGTTCTGAAAAGGAATGTAAGTAGAATACATATCTATTGCGTAAGCACTTTAATGAGTCTTACTTTAAGCCTTGTTGATCTGGCTTGGGCAAAATACACCATCAGACTACATCAGCAGGTACAGAAGTGGAGCAAGCTAATCCTGGAACAGACGCCTTTATACCAAGCACTGCTTTGAATTTTGCAGAAACTTACTTTGTGGACTGCATAAATGCTAAACCAATTTTTTTTACTTCAGAAAAAGATGGTTGCAACTAGGATACAGGTTTACATCACTTTAATGACAATGTTTACAGGTAAATATTTTCTTTTTGTGTACTAGTATGTGCACTTAGGCTGTATAGAACACGTCACAGCTGTCTGTCCAGACTGCTTGCTTGTACTTGTGTGGTATTTATTAAGTGTCAAGGAACAGGAAAGAAATTTCTAACTAAAGGTGTGTATGAAAAGTGTAATTAGGATAACAGTTCTATATCGGTTTAGTAGAAATGAAAATTGGAGGTGTTTAGTAGAAAGCAGGCTTGAAAAATTGCTTTTGTCATTCTGCTTCGGTAAGAAAAGCTTTTCTGCTAAATTTGAGGCAGATAGTTTAAGAGATTAATAGGTAGAGAACAGCTACCCTGTAGTAGTAGTAGGTGAAACAAAGTGACAAAGCTATGAGTGCTGTTTTCCAACAGTCAAAGGGGCTGCTTCACCTCTGTTGTGAATGAAACTTCGTAGGAGGAAGAAATACTTATTACCTATAGAAATAGGATAAAAAATATTCTCAATATATTTTCCTATATTCACCTATATTTTCATATATAGGTGGGCATGTAACATATTTAGAAGAGAAAATGCTGAATGACTTCATTTTAAAAATACAAATACGTTTAGCTGAGCAAATGTATGCAACTCTGAAAAAACCAGTTCCTCACAGTTGCTTTTCAGAATTCATTTTTTTACATGCTATCTTCTCCTCCAACCTGAGCTATTTGAACTGCTTATACAGCTCTATAAATATTGGCTAATCCTTTTATCTAGAGTGCTTTTATCTTGAGTGACAGTGGTCTTTGCTTGCATAGCAGTTGGCAGATAACAAGCAGTATCAACCACCCAGCTTGTAAGAACGGCTGATTTATTTATTCCTGATAAGAAAAAATGTTTTGCTTACTTTTTGCTGACCTATATTTATGTTTCCGTTTCTGTTAATCCTTTTATGAAATATCAGCCATTTGAATCTGTGTTTATATGTATGTACAAACAGTATGTATATAGGTACCTCCAAAATCATTATTTCACAACATATTATAAATGTAATTACTTAAAAAACAAGCATTTGTATTCTGACACTGAAACACTTATGAAATTGCACGTAATGAAGTCATGCTGTGAAAGTCACTTTGCAGTTAGAAACTGATTTTTTCACATTCTGTGGGAAAATAACACACCAAAAATAGCGTGTCTCCATTTTAAAAACTGCTGCTATGTCTTTGTTAGACACCAATATTCGTGTTATAAAAGTGTTATCTAAATTTAAAGACAGAAAGGTATACGATTTCCAAACAAGTTTAGCACATTCATGAAAACTTCTCATTAATTTTACTTCTAGTTTGGTGAGGTAGAGAATGACACAGATGCTGAACTTTGCATTGGGCTTGGTCCATGCATGTTTCAGCTGCCTGTGGACAAGTCCCTCCTATAACGTGCAGCTCAGAGCACGGGCTGCAGGCAGAAGTGCTGCCTTGCTGGGGCTTGGAATACTGAACAAATGCATGCAGAGTGGAACATGCAGCAGTAGAGTTGCTGGGCAGGCACCACTGCATGCCATTCACTTGGTTGATCTTTTTAAATGGCTTATATTTTTTTGTCTATGAAAAGTTTAACAGTAGCCCCCGGTCCATAAATCCTTACATTCGCTCTGATCACTCTGAGGCTCAATAGAAAACCTAAGTACCAACATGATCCTAGTGCTTTTAGGAATTATTTTTTCTCTCTGACACAAAAACCCAATGAGACCCATATTTCTACAGCTGTCACAGTAAGACCGAGCAGTCTACAAGACCTGTGGACACATTGCTCTGGATGTCAAAGCAGGAGATGTACTAAAACATTGACTGAAACAGGAAACAGCTCACGGTGACTTCACTTTTCATATACCAGAGCAGTAAAAGCAGGACAAGTCGCTAACACAGAAATTGCCATAAACCGGGCAAAGCAGGCATTGTTCTGGCCCCCAGTCAGAACAGGTTTGAGAAGTGCACATCACTTTGGGAAAGTCAGTCCTGATGATTCATATTTCTGCCAGATGCCACTACACATTAAGGTATACAGACATCTCATGTTGGAATAAATATAAGCCTGGCTGGAAAGCAGAGAGACTGCTGCGGTATAACCCTGCTGTCAGACCAGGGAGGGCACGGTGGTGTTTGATACTCTGAGGCTTCAAGCGGAAACTGTGTGCTGTAATAAAAGAGAACGCTGTAATGAGGAAGATCTCTGCTAAGAGGGCCTTTTACATATGTGCTGTGACCACTTCACTTTGCCTAATCTTTAAAACAATCTCAGCCAACTCTGAGTTCCCTTCTGGCTCTCTCATAACTTACCTCTCTCTAAGATGGGTCTAGTTACAGCTGTGATTGAATAAAGTGGACAGGCAGGGAATTAGCCTTCGTAGATAAATTTATCTGCTTCTATCTGAATCTATTCGTTGTGGCTGAATGCTGCTCTGTAATTTTCCATGAAAAAATGACTGTATTTTGCTATAAAAATAAAAGCTCTGTGAATCTGTAAGTAAAATTAGGTGTGGTGCCTAGTACCTGGCTATGGCTCTGTGAGCCTCATCTTACCCACTGAGGTAACCTGCAGGCACCTCATATGGTGAGCGAGCAAGAAGATGCTGAAGGCAATTCTGCTGCAGGGACAGACATCATTGTGCTTATAAATTACTTTATGCTGTTGAGAATTTGCGGTTATCTTTCAAGCTACTATTTCATATTCTTATCTAGAACAGTGCAAATATTAAGGTTTGTACTTTGCATAAGTTTTCAAAAAAGCAGTTGGATATATTTTGAATGCTTTCAAGACAAGAAAGATGTTTTCTCCGATTCATTTCACACTTACTAGCACAACAACACATCATCAGTAGAGTAAAACTAACCTGTCTCACGATGGTCTAAACCCAGCTCACGTTCCCTATTAGTGGGTGAACAATCCAAGTGCTCCCGAGAAAAGTTACTATAGTTATCATTTTGTAGATGGTCAGTAGTCCAGATTAATAAGCTGATGAGCAAACAGATTTGTCTTCCTTTGTTCAGCCTGACCCAGTATACGTACTTGGGTCACAACCTATCAAATCTCAGTGAAGGTAAGATGAGGAGCTCTACTTTTATCCTGTATACCAATAACCAAGCACCATCTGAGAGAAGAGGAAGTAGGAGGCAGCATCACTCATGCTTTAATTGCCATCTCTGGGGTATTTGGAGAGATGATTTGTTCCTCTTTTCTTACTTTACAGTTTGAAAATAGTAGGGGTAAAGAATGTTCCACTGGAGATACACAATACCAGGAATATTTTTCTGGATCACATGGGTTCAGATCCCTCCAACTGCTTCTCTCACATCCTTCTTGTCTCAGTCTGAGATCATAACTGATGGGCCAGAAGTCACCTCTGCTTTTCTTTTTTTTTAGGAGATATGAGATCTATTGTTCATTTGCGAAAAACTACAGTATGCATCTACTCCTGAAATGTGACAACTGCACATTCATTGTGGATGTGGTGCATCTTAGCCAGATCTCTGATAGAATGCAGGGTCAAGCTCCAGCAGCTCCCTGCTCAATCTGTGAATTTCATTCTTAAGTTAAAGATGATTTAACAGAGCACACGTTCTTAAAAGCACCGTTCTGGGCTCTAGTTGCTCAATCCAGAATCTCCAATTCTTTGTTCTTTAGGTATTCACTGTGATGAAGACATCAATGAATGTCACATGAACCCTTGCCAAAATGGTGGCATCTGTGAGAACTTTCCTGGGAATTACACTTGCCATTGCCCACCTGCAGACAAAGAAGGGATTTTTTACGGCGGCTGGAACTGCACAGAAATCCTCCATGGCTGTACTGATCAACAATGCCAAAATAATGGAATATGTATCCCACATTTAAAAAATGGCCATCATGGATTCAGCTGCATATGCTCACCTGGATATACTGGAATACACTGTGAAACTGTAACTACATTTTCTTTTCAAGGAAATGGTTTCCTTTGGTTGAAGAATCCCACAGCCACTAAAGAGGAATTTTCCTATAATATAAACCTGAGGTTTCAGACTGTGCAACCGTCAGCCTTTCTATTTTATCGAGGAGAGAAAGACACATTTGTGAAGCTGGAGTTACTGAATGGCTACTTACATTTGTCCGTGCAAGTCAAAAACCAGCCACGGGCTCTTTTGCATATTTCACATAATGTCAGTGATGGAGAATGGCATTCTGTGGAGGTAACCTTGGCAAGAGCTGTTACTCTTAATTTACTTGACAGCTCTTGTGCAGAATCATGTGTCAATAAAACTTCTGCTATGATAGATAATGATCACGTGAGGCTTGCATTTCAGAGCACATTTTTGGGCAGCTTACCAGTGGGGAACATTAGCAGCAGCTCTCAGCTTAACATCAGTAATATACATTCTACACCTTCATTTGTAGGCTGTCTTCAGGATATTGAAATAGACTTGAATGTTATTACTCCAGAGAATGCATCACCTGAATCCTCTTTAAACGTCGAGACAGGATGCAGGAAGAAGGACTGGTGTGAAAACCACCCCTGCCAGAACAGGGGCCGCTGTTCCAACCTGTGGCTGAGTTACCACTGTGACTGCTACCGGCCGTACGCGGGGCCGAGCTGCAGAGCAGGTAAGAGCATGTGATGCCGTCAACGCTGTCAGGGGGTGTTGAAAACATAACCTGGCCTCGGGGGTGAGCCAGCATGACCCTAGGGATCTCTGGAACTTATTGCCCACCGGTAAGAAGGCACAAGGGGTTAGCAGTAGCACATGCTCATTATTTTCTAGTTATTTTCCAAGAAGGCTGCTTTTCAGCTTGACAAAAAGTCAGGCCAAACTGGGGGATTCTACTCATCCAGTTTTTAAATCTTCTTAGCGCTCTTAGCACTCCATAAACTCTGGAAAACTGCAGTTCACAGGAGGTTATGCACTCCGAGTAAAATTTAGAAAGCAACCGAGTCACTTGGAGTCGAAGTCTTATTTTCAAAGCATTCTTTCAGAATTTTATCCTCTCTAGGCTGACATAAAGAAACTCATTTAAGGCCATGAAAGGCCAGCAAAGCACTGCAAGTTAAAAAAAAAATACATACAGATTCCAATTTTACAAAATGAACAAGATTATCCTATTAACTTAATCTGATTAGCCTGAGGAGAATCCAGGTCCTCGGAGGCCGTTCCTTCTCAGCCAGGTCCTGCACAGCTCCGGGCAGTGACTAACGACGGGCAGTGACTAACGAGGGCTGTGCTACCAGAGAACTGCTGAGGGCCAGAGGGAGACGTGCCCATGTGTTAGCGAGCAGAAGAGCACATGTCAGAACACAGCCTCTTTGGCAGTGAAGCAGGGATTCAATAGCTGGCAGTGCCTGTAGCGCATTTCCTGCTACAAGTGATCGTTCTAAGCACGGGCTGAGACAAAGCGGGAGGACACCAGCAGGTCCCCTGCTATCCCACATCCATGCTGGAGCAGCAGCAAGTAGCCCTCTGGAGCTGAATAAAGCACATCTCAGGAGCACCAACAGTGCTGTGGTCAGATGAGAACAGACAGACTGTACTGGTGTGGGCTGGCACAGCCAAGACAGTCCACTGCCTTACCGCAGCTGAATGGCTGGGCCCAGGGGCTTGCCGGAGGCACTGCTGCAGAAAACTGTGGCTTGAAATGCACTTCAAAATGTTTAAAGACAGTTTCATTTTGTATGCTATACTTGATAGGTATCAATACTTTTCAATAGCGTTTTTTTCCCTTATTGCAAAATGACAAAGTCTGAGAGGTAATTGTAACAGACTTCTTTGAAGTCTAGCTGTAATTTATCCAAAGGTTTGGAAAGCAACTTTGGAGTATAGGACAACATCTGGTAAATATGTTGGCCTTCTTATATGAAGTGAAATTAAAACCAGTCAGGGCCAGGAGAGGCTTACGCTGGCATTACAACTGTTCAGAATGATTAGAAAGCAAGCTTTTTTTTTTTTTTTTTTTTTTTTCCTCTCTGCTGACCACAGCATTCTTTGCAATGTGTGGCACCATGCCACTTTGATACATAGGTTCTAGATATACGCCATTTTTAAAAGACTGTGGCAGGTAGCTTAAAAAGCAGAATGGGGGAGACGTGTGGCAAAGGATAACATAAGAAATGCTAGCGTCTTTTTGAAGAAAAGTTGCTGCCAAGTATTTAATTGACAAGAGGCAATATTTTCTCTACATACACAAAATAACAAACAGATGTTGACTCATTTTGATCAGCATCCAGATGTTGCGACCCAAGAGGTTAATGCTAACCAAGGTGATGCTAGCCATCTCATCAAGCAGAAGATCAGACTGATGATATATATATGTATATATATATCATCTGTATATATACGTATTTATAAATAGAAATACAACAAAATGATTGCAAACATGAAATACCTTTTTGAGAACTAACGGTAACTAATTCCAGCAGAAATTTTATTTTTATCTACATGAAAACATAGTTCAGTCTGTAGAATGACCTTATCAAGAGGGTATATCTGAAGAAGCTTCATGCCTCAAAACACCCATTGCAACAAATAATTATTTCTATAGGCCAGACTTTTCAACACATAGATTTAGAAACAGAGGTAATGTTACTCTTAGTACTAAAATTTTTGAAATTTGATTTATGAAACTGTTTATGAACAATGAAGGGATTTATTGCTTCCAAATAAATGCCAAATAATACTACTGTGCCACATGGTAGTGCAGTGTGATTATTAAAGGTCTGCTAGGATCTTCACATTCAGGACCCTATTTTCATGGCTTTTTTTAATGTAGTCAATTAAAAAAAGTACTGCTGCAGGCAGCAATTTGACCTATGAGGTCTCACTCGAGGAGTTTTACAGTGCAAAAGGGAACTGACTGTTCAGCTATGTGAGCATTTAAAAAAAAAAAAGTTTGGTTTATTCTTTCTATGAATTTGATATATTAAAAAATCGCTCTTGAAAGTGTTTAGGCAGGAAGTCTATAATACCAAGGACAAGATCATGAAACGTGAAGTATAAAAATAGAAACACTTTGTTGTGCTTTAACGAGATGATTCATCAGAATAAAATACGCTTTGGACTACATATTTTATATCCTTACGAGTCTGAAAATCATTACTGAAAATAAAGAGTAAGGCAGAGAGACAGATGGTTTTGGTTTAATCATTTTAATTGATAAGCCCAAAAAATAAAAAGGCTCACTCAATCCTAGCTCATTTTTCCCCATGACACAGTAGCATTATAAGCACTCAGAAGTGAGCAGAACTCATATTAGAACTTACTGAGTCTGTTGAAAAACCTGTGCAAGACAAAATAGGTGTGCTATCTGTAAGTTTTATACAAGAGGGTTGTGCTAAGCAGCTTCTGACAATACAACATAAAAAATCAATGAAGTTCAAGAATTATGTAAACTTCCCTTGTCATCAGAGAATCAAAGGAACTAGCTTCTTTTCTAAATGATTTTTCTGATGACCAATCCTGGAAAATGTAGAAATTTGTCCTTCTTAAACTGTTTGCAAACACAGTATCGCATGGAGCTTGATAAAGGGGAAAATTGTGCACAATAACATAACATCTGGTCCTGTACTGGGGCCTAATGTTACAGCCATGGAAGCTGACAGGAGTTTTGGAATAGAAGCTATTTATGGCCAGAACAAGTCTTTATTCATCCATAAATACCAGCACATCTTACTGCCATAAGTAAAGTATATAATCAGAAGTAGCTATTTGATCATTATACTGGTTCCTTTGTCGTTTAGCCCTGACTATTCTATTTTTCCTCTTCCTTTCCTTTTTCACCTTTTCTCCTGTTGCTAATCCCAAGAGTATATTCCAGGTCGATTTGGATCTGAGGACTCCTCAGGCTATGCTGCTTTTTCTGTTGATGCTACTGAGAATGAAAATCTGAACATATCAATGTTTGTCCGAACTCGCAAATCTTCTGGCTTGTTACTGGCTTTGAGAAACAGTACCTGTCTCTATGTAAGAGTCTACTTGGAAGATGGGAAACTCACGATGTTAGCTCCAAATTCCATGAAGCTCTTAGGGAAACATCCTATAAATGATGGAAATTTCTACCTAATAACATTAAAAATAGAACCAAATATGTTGGAATTATTCCAATCCTCTCAATACTTAGGCTTTATTTCTACTCCACTACTAACCACCCAAAGTAAGGACTTTCTTTACATCGGAGGCCTACCAAATAACAGAGAAACTGATAGAAATGGTGGGTATTTCAAAGGCTGCATCCAGGATGTAAGAGCGAATAACCAGCCGCTGGAATTCTTCCCCCTCACCAATTCACTGCATTCTTCTATCAACCGAACCCTGATCAACGTCACCCAAGGCTGCAGTGGTGACAATCTCTGCAAGGTAAGAATGACATTTTCATATCATTTTCATGTTTTTGTCGTGGAGAATTAAAAGACAAAACAAAACAAAAAAACAACATAATTTTTTGTACAATATGTAATGATAATATCTTAGCAAAATATGTAAAAATGCTAGAAAGAGCAGATTTTGATATGTTTTGATATAGCAAAGTTATGATAAATATGATGGATAGTATCAGCAAAATGTACTGGCATAGAAGAAAATCAAAATATTTTAAGGTTGCAATACTATTGTTCACAAATTATTAAAATGTTCTGTGCAGTCTTAGTACTAATTGCTTTCCATTGGATATAAACAGAATTTTCTTTCTCGACAAAAAGTCTACATTCCTAGAGTTGTGAGTCCACCAAGATTGATTCACGCTTTGGTTATCTCTTCTCTTTCCCCATAGTCCAGTCCTTGCCACAACGGTGGTGTATGCTATTCAATCTGGGATGACTTCACTTGCACATGCCCCCCTAACACTGCAGGAAAAGCTTGTGAGGAAGTTAAGTGGTGTGAGCTTGGGCCCTGCCCTCATGAAGCACAATGCAAGCTGGTGCACCAAGGATTTGAATGTAGGTAAATTTCAGTTATTCCTGTCATTTTTGGAAATTAGAAACAATTGATCAGTATTTCTTAAAACTAAATATTCACTTATTTAAAAATTCAATGGTATTTCTATATTATGTAGGTTGCTTCGAATGTAATGCCTCCTATTTTATTTTCATGGAAATGACAACAGCTACAAAGAGGATAGTAACAGAGGATAGTAACAGTATTTAACAGAGCAAATTCTTGCCTACAAAGCACCATTCTTCAACACAGTCACCATCAGTAGCTGTGAATTTTCACCAGTGATGAACAAGAGCCTGCATGATGCACTTGTGAAAATCTGCACCAGTTGAGGTGACCCACTGTCACTGCCACCACTGCTGAAATGCACCACCACTTCATTGCACTCTCATCAACTGTTTGGTCTACATAAATGTTCAGCAAACATCAGTGAATGTCAGTAGGTGCCATTTTTTCCCTGCGTGGAAGAATTCAGGGGCACACCTTTGCTTCCTAAACACTTCCATATCAGATGCCATTTTGTCTGACTTCCTCTCTGCTGCTGTCTGTTGCGCAGAAAAAAAAAAAAATGTAATGGGATGTGGGCAGGAAGTTTCAACCTCTACAGTGATATTATCAATATCTGCCTCTGACATCACTAGCAAAAGGAATAAAATAAGAGGCATTACTTTCGGAGCAGCCTCGTATAATAACAGAAATGAAAATAATAATAACAATTGTAAGTTCTATTAACGAGAATATCCTGGCATATCAGCATCAGAAATTTTCAACTAGACCCAATGATGCAGGCACTGATGTTTACATAACCTTTGCTTTTGACATATCCACGAGAGCATGCCAAAGTTGTAGAACAGATTGCTACATTGCCTGACTGTAAGGGTACCCTACATCCCTGCACTCAGATAAGACAACATGCAGTGTTGGATCAACTTAGGATGTTCTCCATCCTCCTGAAGATAAAAGCTACATTACATAAATTGCATCACTTGATATTCTCCAATGTTTAATACCTTTGTAGAAAGTCACCTTAACATCAGCTGTACGGTTATTAAATTAGTATCTTGGCAAGAAGCAGCATGCCAAGTGGTCTATTTGTTTGAAAACTGATAGCCATTAACTGACTGAACATTAGCCAGCCTGCACATCTTTCCTTCTCTTTCTTTCTCCTTACCACCCTGAACTGGAGGAGAATATAACAAGCAAGTAGGGATTTTGAAGCCACATTTTCTCTTTTTGCTACCAAAGTCCAAACAATGCTATGAAGGAAGAGAAATATACACAGATTCTGCTAGAATGGTTGATTCTTAGCAATGAGAAGGCTCGTCACCAGAAGATTACTATCGTGGGCAATTTGCATGCAGATCAATATGGTGCTGTTTTCACTGAGATTGTTAGAATCAGCACTGCAGCACTTGAAAATATTTACAGTTGTAATTAAAATAATTACGCCTTCCCAAATACACATATTTAATGCTGGCATCAAATATGTTCTCTCAAAATTCACTTTTGCATTTTAGGAAAATGTGAACTCCAACTATACAAAAAAAATCAGAGCAACAAACCAAAACCTAATCATAAAACACACACACAAACACACACACACAAATCACACAAGAAGAAACAGAGAGAAAGCTTCTACAAAAAGCTGATGCAGGGAGAGTCTAATAACAACAAAAACTTATACCCAGTGGCACAAATGACAGTAAAAACTTCTTCCCAAATACTATCTAGAGAACATTGGTACAGTTACATTAAGTCAAATTTGTCTACGTTTGTAAGCCTGTATAAAGCAATTGAGCACCTAAGGCAAAGCAGTGCAGCACCACTGGCTGGTAACCTGGTCTTTAACTATTATTTCTTTGCTAAGTGCTTATTCTGGTCTACCCTCACAAGAAGAAGCAAGGTTCAACTCTTATCTATGCCTGTGTACTTAGATCAGCTCACTGGTTTTAGTAGACCTACTTCTGATTTACACTACAGTAAATAAGGCCAAAGTCATTGGATCAGGGTCGCTGTCCCCCTTTCCTCACTAAAGGGAAATGAGCTGGAAGCTGTAGGATTAGGATTTCAGGTAGCACTGCTCTGTAGTCTTTGCAGCCATAAGAGGCAAGCAAGGATAACTGGGACACATGGAATTGAATTGCTTTTTAGTAGAAACAAAAGGATTTAAGTGATGGGGATCATGGAATCTTCATCTCTCTGAAGAGATACTGTCCAGGTGGACTGGTTTAAAGCTGGCCTGGTTTCTCAATTATTATCTTTGCACAGGTCTCACTAATGCAATGTTTAGAGGCCGAAGCAGCGCTATATTTTACAGAAGCAACGGGAAAATCAGCAGAAGCCTCACCAATATCGTGTTTGGCTTTCGAACTAGGGACACAAATGTGATACTGCTGTATGCGGAGAAGGAGCCTGAATTTGTTATCATCAGCATTCACAACTCCAAACTGGTCTTCCAACTGCAAAGTGGCAACAACTTTTACATGTTGACTCTCACTAGCTCACTGACTGTGAGTGATGGGAAGTGGCACCAAGTGATGGTCTCCATGCTGGAGCCCCTGTCTCAGTTCTCGAGGTGGCACATGAACCTTGACAACAAGGACACTGCAACCAGTACAGCTGCTACAGGAAGTCTCAACTTTCTACGAGAAGAGGCAGATATCCATGTGGCTGACAAGGCTTTTGACAATTTGGATGGCCTGCGAGGATGCATGAGCACCATAGAGATTAGTGGAATTTATCTCTCCTACTTTGAAAATGCTGATGTCCTGACTAAAAAACCTCAAGAGGAACAATTTCTCAAAATATCTGCAAACCCTGTTCTTACGGGCTGCTTGCAGGAGGATGCCTGCAGCTCAGAGCCCTGTATGCACGGGGGGACGTGTGAAGACTTGTACACCTCCTATCGCTGCATGTGTCCCCCGGGGTGGGTAGACACCCATTGCGAGACCAACATCAACGAGTGCTTCTCCAACCCCTGCATTCATGGAAACTGCACGGATGGGATCAGCTCTTATGAGTGTGTCTGTGAACCCGGCTACACAGGGTTGAACTGTGAAGAGGACATAGACTACTGCCGTGGCCACCAGTGTGCGAATGGGGCCACCTGCATAGATGGGATTAATGGATATTCATGTCTGTGTGCTGGTAACTTTACTGGAAAGCTTTGCAGGTAATACAGACTAGGTAGGTCCACATGAATTTTTTCAGGTCTCACCTGAGATTGTTATACTACTGATGCTTCCATTTAAATGCACATCTAATAAACTGCACATTACAGACCTGTACATTATAAGATACGCATCTAGTTATATACTAACTGTGGCTGTACAATTGATGTAAAAAGTCTGCAGTACAGAAAGCCATATAGATCAGTTAGATATGGACAAAGAGAGTGGAAAGGCACCAGACAGGTTTCAGAGAGGTGGGGAGCAAGACAGAGCTCTGCTGCCAGCCTGAAACATATAACTTCTCACTGTCAGCATTACAAGTCAGCTGGACAGCTGAGGTAGATGCATTGCAAGGATTTTGAAAACGTTTTGAATCTCTGAAACTATGTTTTATCAGAATAACAGCAAACTAGTGAAAGTCTTAGTGGGTGGGTAAGAGAAACAAGTAGAGAAGAGTTTGTAAAAAACTTTTTTTCCCCACCCATAGCATGTTTGCTAGGCGTGTCTTTTCCTTCTAGGCTTCTCTCGGCCCAGCAGTTCTGCTGGCTGTGGCACCACACTGCCCACTCTATGCATCACATCTGCTGATCTCACTGTACTGCTTACAGTTCCTCCCAGACAATCCACTTTGAGGGGAGCAAGCCCTCCCTTCACTTACCCTTCTCTTCACACTGTATGTTTCTCCCTTCTGAGAGGGCAAAGATATTAAACAGCTAATTTCTACAGCTACCACAGCTAAGAATCTCTTTCCTCTAATTTAATTTTTAAGTGAAAGTCCCTAAACAATGATACCTTTTTATATTCTTACCTACTACCATTTTCATCATATTTTCATCATACAGTCATGTTGGTCTGAATGTAAGGATTTTTTTTTTTTTTAAGAGATTAGATTCAAGAAAAAGTGTTGGTTTTTCAAACATCCTTCTACTCTTTGCAGCCACATGCTGCAACGTGACATCCAAGCTGTTGTGACCCTGGGGTTGGTGGCAGAACTTAGTGCATCCTTGAGAAAGCAACTTCAAATTCAGGTAGTTAAGTAAGTGGACCCAAACACACTGTGCAGTCCTAGACACCAGCTCTGCCTTTGTGTAGTGTTGGCACCCACCCTCCACAGCCCATCCCTCACCATGCAGGCATGGCCAGGCCCAGACACCTGCCTGTGAGTGCATACAGGCACGGGGTTTTCCTACGAGGGAAAGAACCAGGGAGGCAACAAGTTGTGTGTGCATCTCCAGAACTGTGTGGTCATCCATGGGTAAAATATGATGCCTCCTCTGTTTGCACTGGATGGCATTTGCCAACAGGAGCACAGCTCTCACTGTTCAGATACTAGCAGTGGTAAGTTCTGCATTCAAACAACAAATTTGCAAGGTAGATCTAAACATTTTCCGCTAACGCAATGGACTAGACTCAGGAAAAGTGAGAACACGGCATTCAGAAGTGAACAAGGAGAGAGCAAATAACAGCTGTCATTGCCTTTCTATTTATCCAGGTATCGAAGATTACCCTATACAGTTTGTGGGAATGAAGACAGAAATCTCACCTGTTACAATTATGGCAACTGTACTGATCTTGGAGGCAAGCTGGCCTGCATGTGCCTGCCAGGATTTGTTGGAGAACGGTGAGATGCTTCACTTTATGGAACAGTTCTTACAAAAGTCATTCCAAGGGTTTGCCATCCATAGGGAAATTACTCTCCTGCAGAAATACAGAAAAAGCTGGTTGTCAAGTGTAGTAGTTCTTTGCCCGAGGGCCTGAAAGTATAACAGTCTTACTTAGGCAAAAATTACAAATTAGCTCAAGAGGGGTCAGTCCAGTACAGCACCACTAATGCCAGTACAAGCCTTTATTTCTTAGTGAGTGTTGTGCAACTCCTGCTCTTTGGATTCAATGCCAAAGTTGTATGTAGGCACACTGGAGTGTTATTTTTCTGTATATCTATAGGCACACATAAACACGTATATCCTATTCAAGTATGTATAAAAATTAGCCAGAATACATGCTGACACATAAATAAGCCAAGCTGTCCTATTTTCACATGTATCCATTGTAAATAAACAATCTATTCTCCTACAGGGATAAAATGATGCGAAATATGTGGAAGTGTTATTTTCTTTACCGAATGCCAAAATATGAAAAAAGAATTATTATTTGAAATAAAAGTTGAGAAATACTACTTACATATTATAGTATGAAATAGAAGGGGACATCCCAATTTGTATCTTGTAGCAGTTTGCTGCATGATTTCTTACCACTTGTTGATTCTCTACAAACACCTCTGCAGCAGGGAGGTCTGAAGGTCTCAGTGCATAAGGTGTTGTAAAAACATAAGAGGAAATCATCCCAGTCATAATATAGCCTGAAGTAATGGCAAATTTCTAAATAGTAAGACAAGGTACACAGAACATAAACAGAAAACTAATGACTTTCGCTTGCAGTGCAATTAACATTACATCAGAGTGCAATATCCAAACATTCAGCAGGACCAAGCTGTGCTGGCTTTGCAAACACAAAGCAGTGTTTCCACAAATAGTTTTCATTCTTTCAAAATCTGCTTAATTCACTGACTTCGTGGAACCTGCACTGTAGACCAAAAAGGACAGATGAAATGAAAATTTCCACCCACTCATTGCACAATGTAGTTGGCTGACACATCTGCGCTGCACTCTTTAACTCAGCCAGAAGGCCTGCATGCCACACTAAAAAAAAAAAAAAAAAAAAAAAAAAAGCTAAAGAAATAAAATAATAAAATAATGAAAGCATGTTCTCAGGCATTTCTTCAGTGTGTACTTTTTTCAGGACTTCAAGACAAGTCAAAGTGCTTTTTCCTTCTTCCTTCCCCTGCCAGGCAACTTGCTAAAAGCAGCTCTGGGAATGAGCCTTGCTTACATCCACTCCACTGGCTGGCAATAATGTCTATTTTATAGTTCCCGTGATCCTCATACTGAGTAGCAGCCTTGCACCAATCGTGCTGCACTATAACTGACAATCAAAGCAAGGCATTCTTCTCAAATGTCTAAAATTGACTATTTGTCCTCTTTTCCTCCAGGCTGACACATCATAAACCAGGAATATTTCTGTTTGCAGAACTTAATACATAAGAAAAAAAAATTTCACCTCAATCAGTTAACATTTTTTCAGAATAATTTCAAATGTTAACATGAAAATTCAAAACAAAACCCTTCAATCTATTTATTGATTAGAATAGTAAAGCAGGCATTTTGGTTTCAAGACAGTATTTCATCCCTAAGAAAACTAATGATGTACAATTTAAAAAAAAAAAAAAGGGGGTGTATTTCTATGTCATTCAATTGACTTGGGATTACAAGGGAAAAAATAGCAAATAATAAGTGGAAATGAAAACTTGAAAAGATTAAATAAAAGAAAATGTAGCTGTGTCTTGAAAACAATTATTTCACTGAAATCAGGCAGTTTTCAAAATCACCAAAGAGAGTGAGGTGTAAAAGTCTTCCTGTACTTTGTTTTTCAGTTTTACATGGGGAAGTTCATAGCTATATAATTTTTATGGATTTAATTAATACTTAATTTTCAGCTTTCTGATGTATGTAAAAATGTAGTTTATTAATCCATGGAACTTTTTCATGGATTAATAAAGAAAACCAGCTAAGTGTTTAATGCGAAGAGCAGCACATCTCTAATGTAACACTTAACAACATCTTGAGTGCTAATGGATATAATTAAACAAAACAATTCCTGGAAATTTTCTGTGAATTTCACACGTCCTACTTCAATAGTAAATGTGATTCTTAATCTGGAAAAACACAGTATTGACCATTATCAGTACTTGAAAAAACGAAGGCAGAGAATTCAGGGGAAGCTTCGTCAGGACAGAGAATCACCAAATTGTTACCAGTTTTTAAACAGTTGCAAATGCTTTTTATTAATGGTTGGTTGCCTTAAGAAATTATTAGAACTTAAATTTCCTTTCTCATCAGAATTACTGAAAAGCATACAATGATAAAAATTTAAGCTTTTAAAAACCATATTCTGCAACTGCCTTTCTTAACATTCTCAGTGCCCACACCCTCTCAGAGAGTCCTTATAGGAGATAGTGCTGGACATCTACTGACACTTCAAATTGAGAAAAGAAATGGGTGAACATTCCCAGGGGCATTCAGTTGTGAAATAATGTGCTTTTGTTTCACTTAGATCTAAATTATCGAGAAGGAAATTGTGCCCTCAGCTTGCAGTAACGATGAAAATGGACCAGCAAGTGCTCAGCAGGACTTGTGCTGTATCCAGCTCTAAAACCACACACCAGCTTTCATTTCACTTTGCTAAGCGCCGTTAACCAGGAAATGCTCCACAGAAATGAAATTTCTGGCTTAACTATCTATGTTTGAAAGTAACACAGGAAGTTCAAGATTTAAGAGAGGATAATCAAGTCATTAATAAGATTCTCTGAAGACCACAAACACATGTGGAAATATACTACAGATTTCAAATGGAGCAGCCCCCTCATTAAAAGTTTCTGAGTTAAAAATGTGCCAGTTTTATGCATTTTGTACCTGATTTCAGGATCTCACTTTTTTGCACTCTTCTCTGTAGGTGTGAAAAGGACATTGATGAGTGCAGCTCTGATCCATGCCTGAACGGAGGCCTCTGCCAGAACCTGCTCAACAAATTCCACTGCCTCTGCGACGTGAACTATGCTGGGGACCGCTGTGAGATCGATGTAAGCGACCTCTCCTTCTTTGTCTCTTTACTGTTGTGGCAGAATCTCTTTCAGCTTCTCTCCTATCTTATTTTGAGAATGGATGATGATCCAGCAGTCGAGTGGGGTGACCAGGAAGACTATTAGCAACCCTTTGACTCTTGGTTTAGCAAAACAGAAGATGCCTTGACCAAAGAGCTTAGCAAACCAATGCAAGCATCTGAGTTTGAAAAATCATTTTATATGTTTTTTGAACTTATGTGAAACATTCAGTTCTATACAAATGTTCTTCAACTCTCGTTGTAACGTGGAAGCAAATCCTTCAGTAATATCATGTTACTTTATAAGATATAAGAAAGTGAATGATGGGAACTTCGTGATGCAGTGCTCAGGTCCGAGTTCTTACCTGTTTGATGAACTACTTTGGATCTGTGTTAGTGCTTTTACTTCTTCATATTAGAACAAGCGCTAGCAAATCTTAAAAAGTGTCTCAACCCCACACCAATAGACCATTTCACTACATGCACGCTGTCAGCACAAACAGTGGAGGAGATCAGAAAGTAAGACATAACAAGGGGTACTTTAAGATACACCTGTGGTAGCATTCAAGCACTATGCAATGGCTGGCAAAGGTTTGTTGCCCTCAGAGAGGTTAATTTTACCATTAAATCTTACTGGTGTCACTATCTCTGCACCACATAATACTTTCATTGCTAGTATTTGGCCATTTGGTCTCCCACCTGCGATACCAAGTATGGTGCTTTTGGATAAATAACATTATGGATTAGCAATGGGGCCCCTTGTACATCCTCTTGGTTTAGTGGCAATCCTGCACCTCTGCTCCTTTAGCCTCTACACCTCCAGTGCATCACTCTGAGATAAATTGTGGCTATCTCATTTTTCATTAGAATTCCTCTGTCAAGTAAGGCCCAGGAAGTATATTAGATTTTGAAATTACAAATTTGCTGTATTTTCCAAAGATTTCTTCAAATTTCAGAAAGTCTCTCTATCAGTAGGTAGACTCAATAGACTAAAGTACAACCTTTTGTTCCTTCACATGAAGTAACCAAGGTACTTCAGTTGAGTGGTTGTACATGGATTCTTTAAATAATGAAAATTATGAACACTGGGAGATTGGGAGATTAAAAAAAAAAAAAAAAAAAGGAAAGAAAAAATGTAGGAAATGTAAAATATCTGAATTTGTGGAAGTCATTGCCTGAGAATCAAGTCTCTCTTTTATTTCTCATCTTTCAGAAGTGTCCCCAGATTGATTTTTTTTTGAACTTCATTCCAAGCATAATTGCAGCAACACTGGTATTATTAAATAAGGTTCCTATTTTCAGAAAACCCTCACATTCTTTTGTGCATTTGCAGCAAATACAATGATTCATCCCTGTGAAATGCCACACATTCCTGCATTGAGCATTTGCCTTAGTATGAAAACTTCAGCACAATATAGTAATTATGATAACAGCTACATTTATTAGGATAATATCTTTGTTATATTTATCTTAAAAAGTGATTTGGGTAGTTTTTGTGTTTATTGCTCTTTACAAAAAAAAGCGCTGTTCACATGAAAGGTCCTTCCCTCTTTATAAGCAAGTAATTAACGTTGAAGAAAGCTAGAAAAAGTACATGTATTAACTGTATGCCTGACAAGCAATAGCTATCATTGCAGCATGCAAATCAACAAATATATCTGTATGGAGATTTCAAAACTTTTTCTATTCAATACTAGAAACGTGGTGACTGCACAAAAGTTTTAAATGGATTTAAAGGAACGTGTGAGCTTTCACGTACATTTAGAGTTTGTTACCTGCAGAGCAGCAGTTCAGTCTTTGAGTACATGCTACACAAATATTGTCTGTTCTTGCAATTTAATTCTTTCCTTCCTCTAATGCCTTGTCATCATGAAACATCTCCTGACTTCAGCTGTGCTCCTCTCCCCTCTATATTTTCATATGTTCAACTACATCATGTACGTGTACAGAACTTTCCTGTCATTGCACAAAATAAACCTTCTGCCTTTGTCTCTATGTCTGCTTCTCATTTCCTGCTGACAGCTCTTTCCATTTGCTTCAAGTGTGTCGTTTCTTCTGATATTACCACCTTACACACACCAGCAGAGGCTGCATTTCCCCATTGCTCTGCAGTAGTGCTGGCAGTGCCCGGGGCAACTGTTCAGCTGCCAGTGCCTCCCCAGCTGCAGCTCTGTTATGTGTCCAAGGGCAGTTGCATAGCACAACCCAACTGACAAGACCCAAATCAGCAACTCAGAGAAGGAGCGCTTAAAGGGTCTACAGGGCTCAAAGTGACTCTTATTACCTGCTTTCTCCTTTTGTACTGTCAATACTTACAAAACTGCTGGGCGTTGGAAGGCCTCTGCTAACATTCTGACAGGTCATTTCTTCCCTTTGAGTTACATCATAGCCTATAAGCTGGTTCTGACCTGTGCACAGATCTCTAGTTGAGAACAGACTTCATATTTCTAGTTTATAACATTAAACAGAAAAAGGAAACAAATTCCAGACTAATTAAAATTATTTTTTGGAATATATACTTTCACAGAAAGATAAGCCATTTTAAAGGAAACAGCTTTAGAAGCAAAAATGAAAAAAAGCTTTGCTAAGCACTAGTTTTTTGTAAGTACATCCAATTGCAAAGATTTTTTAGGATCTAAGAGCTTAAAGATTTTAATGTTTAAAATTGAGATATAGCAGCAAGATCTTCATAGATGAATGGAAGCAAACAAGCAAGTTCACTGTATTGGGAGGCATGGCTTGTGATTATGAACACTGACACTAGCAGTAACGGATCCCTCTATTTTGACGCTAAGGTTCAAATGTTTTCTCATCTCAGTAACTGTCATTCATAAATATGGGCAATGAGAAGTAACAGTGATAGAGCTTGAAGAAAAAAGAAAGATTTCTGAAAAGAGGGGAAAGATAGCAGTGGTTGAGGTACTAAAAGGGGAAGCAAAAGTATCTGCATCAGCTGTGGGAGAAGCAAAAGGGTATTCTTTAACAAGTGAGGGAAACAAAGGAGCAGTATTGCACTGGGGAAGTGTGCATAGAGAATGGAAAACTTAGAATTGCAGTACTGACAATAGTTCTTACTTCTGACCCTTAAAAAAACAGGTTCTGAGTGATGCTCCTCTGCTACTGCAATTCAAGTTCTGCTGGCAGCATTCTGTCTTAGCCAAAAAGAACCCAAGTGTTTGTGAAAGAATCCTTGGTGCTGAATGCTTATTGAATTCTTTTAGTCCCAGATAATTTAATTTTTAAGAAACTAGATTCAATACACAGTTTGCTCAGTGCTATATGCTATGTGATTATAATAAGTTAGTGAAACAAATAATATAAAAAAAATATGCTTCAAACTCACAGTGAATTAAATCAGGTTTCCTTTTTTTTTTTTTTCTTTTTTTTTTTTTTTTCCCCATTGCAAATATTTTCCCTGGCCTGACACCCAGAGGTCCAGCTGGACGGACACTCTAGTTCTCTAAATCATCTTTTAGCTCTTGAACTAGTTTTTGCAGTTTGATGTAGTGATTTTCCCTATAAATGTTTGCAATGAAAAGTTCTTCAAAATACTACCTCAAGAACCACTGGTTACTATTACCTGAAAAAATAGCCACAAAAAAACTCCAGCGGGACATCATTCTGTAACACTTAGACAACTATTACCTGCAATACATCTTCAGAGAGTAAAATAAAATAAATGGAAAGTTTGTGATCCTTTTACTTAGTGTTTCAGGAGTACTACGAGGTCCCATTAGGCCCCAAAGTCCATTCTGCCTGTGCTGTGCATAGCAAAAGGCATCCCTATGCTGACTGGCAAACAGCTCAGGATGTACTTTAAAATTGTTTTTTGAGCATTATCATCAGCTGCACCTTTGGGACAGCACTTCCTCACAAAGCATACCCTCTCCTATTGTACTTGTGAATATACATGAATATTGAAAGCAGTGCTAGAGTTCACATCCCAGAATACAAGTTCTGCTAATGCTGTGTTCTCTGATGTGTGCTGCTGTTGCTTCCAACTGGTATCATCTGATCCTCCAGGGCACAAGGACAAGCGTCATGCACTGCAGATTACAATTCACATTTAGTGTCATTAAAAATACACTGATAAGCATGTAAAGTATGTTCAATATTGAATCTGAATTCAGTAAAGCTCTCTCAGGCTTCCATAGCACAGGCACACAGAATTTTGATTGAATTGGCACTGCAGCAATTAGCTAATGTATTCATTAACTACAAGGCTTAGTAATGTGAACGTAGCAAATGATACTTAATTACAATAATTAAAGCCTAGTGATTCATGAATAATGCATTCTCTAACTATTTACTTATTCATCCTTGTGAAGCCATTAATGGATAATGATCATTCACATAAAAGACATGGACATCAGGAATGTAATACCAAGACTAGTTTTTCTCAGTTTCACCATAGCTTTACCTGTTTGCCTTACGTACTTCTTCCTTGCCAATAGCCACAGAGATGGAAAGTATTTGAAGAGCTAAGAGGAATACCATCACAAATAGAGCCATACTGGCTAGTTCTCACACTGCATCAGTTCTCAGTCAGTACTCTCATCAGGCTTGGAGAAGGTCCAAAGAGTCACATCATGCCAGAAATACAGGATAGATTTTGTTTTGTTTTTAAGTCACACTCACGTGCGATTATTTTGAGGCAGCATTATCATTTTTGTTCTTAGCCTAAGTTCAAGTGCTCAACACTAGGCCAGTATTGCTCATCAGCTAGGCCAGGGATGTGGCAAAACGAAGCAAAGACAGGAAAGTCAACCGGATCTGGAAAGTGCTGCTGTTCAGGCTGAGGAGCTGCACTCACCTATTGCTCCTCATGCACAGCAAATGAGACACAGAGGCGGGCAGCACACTGAGGGCAAGGCTTTAGCCACAGGGCATGCAGGCACTTACTGGGGTTTTGTCTTCCCCAGCACACCTGCCCGCTTTCCTGATGCTGCTGAAGCTGAGACAGGCAGGCAGCAGGAGGAGGTGGGCTGCTGGTGAGTTGTTGCTGCGGTGCCTTACAGAGCAGCCCTGCACTGTCAGCTCCTCAGAGAGGAATGCAGCACAGCACAGATAAACTCACTGCAGTCTCACGATTGTGTAAGTCAGCCACAAAGGCAGACTTGCTGCTGCTGATGGTATGGGGACATTCATTCCTGTGCCAGGTCAGATGCAGAGTCAGAACAAACATCTTTAGATTTGTAAAATGAACGGTTCTGCTCTGAAAGTCATTGCAAATGTCACATTGCTATTTTTGTAGCTGTTTTTCTTCTTTTTTTTCCAGAGCTCCTTAATATCCTCTGCTACTTTCTATTCGTCTGCTTTCAAAACACAGGATTGAACTAAAACTTCTAAAAGAGTATTGCAAGAAACACATTTAATATGTGCCATAACATAAGGTACAGAAACATTAGGTTGCAAAGACGATAAGGTTATCTGATGTGTCTTAGCTGGGAAAGACAAGAACACTCCTCATGAGGCCGACATTACTGCATGCATCAGTGCAAAGCAGCTGAATATTTAATGTATGTGGTAAATATAAGCAGCAAAAGGAGTCCAGATGACATATGACAGCCTAACACTCCACAGTGTAGGAATCGGCTCAAATGGGGTATTCACATAACACATTTAACGTTCAGACTAACATGTTTTGTCTGTACACCATCCTTTATGTTGCAGAAGCATTGTTTTCCTTTTCTCACCTTCTGATGTTTTCCTTGTAGACTCTCAGTCACATCACATGGGCATTTACTTCAGTCATTGCTCACTTCCAAACACATTCGAGCACTCCATGCCTGCATTGTTCAGATACTAAATTTTACATGCTTTTTATCATATGGTTCATGAAAATTAATGTTCTTTTTTTTTTAATTTTATTTTTCTCTCTCTCTTTTATTTATTTATTTATTTATTTAAAAATTTTTTCTGGCTTCCAGTGATACTAGAATATATACTAAAAGTTGTTTCAGCTCTTTAGAACAATTAACTCAGAAATATGTGTGTGCATGTATATATGTGTGTGTGTGTATATATATATATGTATATTTATGTATGTATATATATATATAATATACATACATTTGTAAGAGCAGAAACAAATAATTCTGTCTTCCAGTGACTTTCAAACAATAATGCTCGATGTCACTGAACAGTCTGGCCAAAAGCAGACTGAAAACAGACAATAAAATAAATATATTTTAATTCCTTAAATCCAAATTAGTGAACTCACTAGAAGTTTCTACAGTACAAATTCCAGCCTCACCTTCAAATTGAAAAATAAAGCCTGGTCTTGTCCTTGACTGCTTTTAAAAAGAAAAATAAACTGGACGGAAGTTGAGGAGTTCATAACAGAAAAGATAATGTATATGGAGTTGGCAGCAACCTCTTGGGATTCAATGTTTGTCCTCTTCACTAAAATGAACAGAATTGAGAGATAAGTACAAAGCTATAAATGGGATTTATTGCCAGATTGGAAGGTGGCTTCAGGGAAAGCTTGTCCACCACCATTAAGAACTTTAACAAAAACCTCCTCACTTTTATTCAGTACTTAAATAGGAACCACGGCCCTTGGCTGCAACCACTACATTATTTAGACAGCAGCAGTCCTGTAGCACATTACTCCTATCTACATACTAGCTCAGCATAACAAATACATCTGGCAGAATAGTGCTCAGAAATGATTCACATACTTACAATTACTACAGAAAGGTCCATGGAGTTATGATGTTTCCAGATAAAGCAAGGGTGGCAGGCTCATCTGCCTATGCATCTCTTGGTGAGTTCTGCATGTGAAGTATGTTCTTGTGCAGAGTGCTTTTCAGTTCTTGTTATGAAACTCCATTCCTAACAGTGTCTGAAAATATTTTGCACACTTTATTAGAGTTCTTGAATATTTGTCCGCTAAAAAGCAATAAAAAAAATCCTATTCTTGAATATCTGAAAAATATTTTGTGTTCAAATGATCAGAAACACTTACATGTTTTCAAACAGAGTCATCTACATGGGAGGAAAAGCTTGTTACTTAAATATTTTACATTCTGTGTACCAAACTGTAAAAACAATACTCCTCAAATTTATTCAAACATTATTTATTCTCTTTTCAAGAAGAATAAAAACTGCTGTGGTACTGCTGTAACACAGTGGAAAGGACAGGGGGAATCAGCAATGGTGCCCTTTAGAAACCTTTGCAATTATTTAACTAGAGCAGCTTTTGCACCACTCCAAACTGCTTTGGTTGTTGGTAGAAAAGAAAAAGAGAATGGTAGCGTTAAAAGGATCTCAAGCACTATATGAGCAGGATAACCAATTATCTGTTTGGCAATGTGTTCTGCCTTTCTTGGATACAGTACAATGAACCTTTAAAAATTTAAAAAGTTACTGTATTGCCTTGCCTTGGCTGCTCTGTGTTGCTAGACCTAACTTAGTTTCTTTAGTTAAAGTGTAACAAAGTCCATACCATTAAATTCCAAAGGAGAATGAACTTGAGGTCCATTTCATGTGAGAATATACCAAATTACAACAGACTCTATTAATGTTAATATATGTTAACATGGAAAGTTAACCACACTGCTTGAATAAAGCACATAAAAATCATTTCCGAGGGCAGATGCTTCAGTGCTTAACAAGTCACATATTGGCATTCAGGAATGAATTCCTGAGTACCCCATTTGTACAAACTCCTGGCTACTGCAGTGCTCAAGACAAAACCAATAACTCCTCTGAGCAAGGTGAAGTATGAGGAAGTCTTTAGTTTCAGTAACTCTATGATAGTTTTAAATATCTTTTGCTTATTTCTGAACACGATTAATTCCCCACCTTAAATAACAACATTGTAGACTTCAAACTGAGCTCAGGTGCCTAAGGATGGACAGCAGCACCTGCTCTGTTCCTGGAGAATGTCATATTCTCCTCCAAAATAAACAGTGTACAGGAACAATCCCAGCTTGCAACAGCTCCATAATATTCATTATATTATCAAAAAGACTACCCATCAGACTCTAGCTTTCTTGTTCAGGGCTGTACAAACACCAACATGTGACAGACAGCCAAAGGTGGAGACCTGGGGGTAAGTCCTAGCCAGACCTCAATTGGTCTTGCTCCTGGTGGGAGTGTTAGGACCAGGGTAGAATGAGAGAGCCCTCATACAGCCATTAGAGCAAGGGGCTCCTGTAGTGAAAAGAGCTTGCATGTGCAGATAAAGGTGAATTTTGATCTGACTCTGCAGACTATATAAAATGCTTACTTTCATCCCGTACTGAGAAACCTACGGATCCAAATTAATCATCTGACTGAAGCAGAGCTGAGTTACTCACAGTCAATATGCCTTATGTTGGAGGACCAGAAATAAATGCAATTAGGTGAGCCAGCATATTTTTTTGTAAGAAGTATGAACTTTGAGAAAATCTTCTGAAAGTGTAGGAAATCTTTGAAGAAAGACATTAACAATGCTGCCATTAAATCCTAGCATATTAGAGTAAATTCGTCTAATGTGAACTACAATGTATTTTCTATCAGTTATCCTTAGGTGGCAGTAAGGTAAAAGCACGGAGCAAAAAACTTAAGAGAAATCTCTAATGTATTTATAGAGACCTCTCCCGCATGTACCGTGCTGGCTATAACATGAAAAGAGACTTCATAAACTTCTTGCACCTTCAGCAGAAATATAAAAAGCAATTACTAGATTAAGCTTCATCCAAATCACATTCAGTATTGAATGCTGAACTATCAGTACAATGACCAGGTATTTCACTAAGTATGCAGTACTAATCCAAGAGTCCCTAAGATTGGAATTTAAATTCGTGGGGAGAGTCAGACTCAAACACTCCTGTCAACAAGAAAGTACATGAAAAAGAAAAAAGGCTGTAAGAATATGGTAAATTCACTATCAAACATCTGAATCAAAATTAAAATGAGATTTCAAGGAGTGATTATTGATGTAGAGCTCTACAGATTTTTATAAGAATTTCATTTACATTTTCCAAGTATTGCATCTCTTCCAAAGTCTTTCTTGAATATAAAACGTACTGATGTAAGTCTTCTCTGATCATCATCTAGTAGAAAAAAGAACAAACACTAGGATATAAACATACTAGAAATTTTTATCAAGGAATATCATTAACTAAGTAATGTGACAGTGTCATGTAGCGTGCTAAGGCAAGAATTATGTAGCCAATAAAGGTCTAACTTATACCATTAATATTTACAGTTGGAAGCATGAGATGGCTGCAATCTAAGTGCTGCACCCAACAAAGGCTTGTTGTTGACTTGATACCTTCTTGTCTGACAGTGTGAAACACTCACATAGCTACTAACTTCATCACCACTTGACAGCGTAATATTAATGCTAGGTAGCAACACATGGCTGTTTTGCAGAAGCTTAGCACCAAATAGGAGAAAGAAATTCATCAAACGCTCAGGAGATTGTAGGCCTAGCTGTGCAGCAGAAAAGTAGAGATGAAGAGTAACTGGAAATTATCCACTATAACAGTAATCCTCACTCTGTTTCTGCTTCACTGCACTCCATTGACCCCATTACTGTGCACCATTGGACAGAGTAGTTTCTTATTCCCATAGAAAGTGGGAAGAGGTAAGTCTGCCAAGTTCAGCACAAGTTGCACCAGTTCCTCCCAAGAGCTAGGAGTCAGGTTAGATGATCTTGCTTCACATCACAGCAGTTGGGTCCAGAACCCATGGCAGGTGGCTGCCCTGTGTGAGACACTATTCTTTGACAGTTGCTAAGTGGTGATGATCATAAGGATCTGATTTCAGAAATAAAAGAGCATCTGCCACTAGCTTTGCTCATTAAAGAAGAGATCTTTTACCTCAGCTGTTGTGAGCTGAGAAGCAGGGGTTCTGAGGAAGTAGTTCTGTGTTTGCAATTCACATTCTGCAAATCCATTAAAGTTAACTGAAGTCAATAATGCAGAACACAACCGAATCATGCCTAGTCAAAATAACAACCTCACCTCTTTTCCCCTAGAACTGTCCTGCTCTCATCTTCAGCACTGTAGCATCTTTTCTTACTCTTCTCCAGCTTTTGGGTCCCCTTCACCCACCTCATGCTCTTATGACAGCAGGCACAGTCCCCAAAAAGCCACTACTGCTCATAGTTCCAAATCTCTTTTCAGGAGTCATTTCTACTGTGGCAACTGTATGGATGCAGTAAACTCAAACCAGATAGATGCAGGACAGTGATAGAAAGTTACTGCTTTCTGCAATAGCCTTTTGATTTTAAATATTATCCTACTCCTCCTTGCGAGATGCTTGCCTGGTAAAGCTTTTGTCCATCATCAAGATTTATCTGTATAGAATCTACTGTCTTGAAGCTGTAATGCAGATAATCCCCTATGGAGAAACAACACCTGATATACTTCACTGTTAACTATGTAGAAAAATAATTATGTATTATACTCCAAAGCATTTCCCAAGCTGGAAAGGGATGTTGCACCCCAGAGACTGATATCTTCACAAAAACACTGTCATAGTATTTGTCTAGTCTGCCATTTAGCAGCTTTGGGACAAACTCCTCCTCAGTGAGATTTGCCTGGATTTACACCAGCTATAGATTTTCCCTCCTATGCTTTCAGACGGCAGCAGATGGCTAAGTTTCTACACCAGAGGCTGTCAATAGAATTTTAAAAGGCATCTCATAACAACACATTGGAGCTGCACATTTAATCTGTGCTGCACCAGCAATATGATCTTAAAAAGAGCTGGAGTACACTTACAAAATTAGCACTGTCAATTGCTGCAGAAATGCTATCAGGGAGTCTTCTGAAAGCCCACAGCTTAATGACAGCTTACCTCCCAAACTGCCAGCCAAATCACTTCTCTGTGTGTAACCAATGCTCAGATGTCTAAGAGAAAAGGCATTTAATACTGTCTCACATGATGCTGATCCACCAAAATATCTAACGGAGATTTTAAGGAGCTGCTTAGGCACTTAAAGGTTTTCTTGGGTCCGTAGCTGAGCTCACATAAAGTACAGTGGTAGAAAAAGAAGTATTATTTCTTCTACCTAAGACAGACCATCTCAGACCTTTTAAAGACTATCATTTTTGAGCCTGGGCCACCTCCATTAAACAGTTGATATGCACCAGGCATCAATACTCCAAGGAGTGAAAAGAAAATGCAATTACTATACATAGTCTGTTGTTATGAGCTAGATTCCTAAAAGTGGGCATTTGAGTTTGAAAAGCTATATCCAAAAAGCTAATACTATATACAGAGCTACCACGGCCATTTGTGATAGCATCTGTGTAGAGAGTGAGTTGTTTTGGTCTAAATGCAGCATGGTCTCTATGTGATCCAGAAATGATCTTGCAGTCTAATGTGAAAAGGAGGAGGTCTCTGGGTGCTGATCAGACTGTAAGATCAAGGCCCGTGTGATACCCTTGTTTTAATCAAAGGCTACTTTACAATTAGTTGCAATGTTTTTGAGATCTCCACCATCACTTTCTAATTTCTTGTTCCACTATAAGTAGAACAAGCTTCCTCGGTACATTCTGTAGAGTCACAGCAGTGAGACTTCACGTGTCAGGAGGGAGGCTGTCAGAATTTCTTAGGAGGCACATAAATCCCTGTGAGTGAAGCTAAATCACAGATTTCAATCATTTCTAGCTTCTTCATTTTCTCACAGGACTCCAAAGAAGCAATTATTCCTTAATAAAACAGATTGCATTTTTTCCTGATCCATAACTGCACAATCCAGATGATCAATTTATCATTGCAGCTGCTAAAACTAATTCTCTCTGCTTTCATGCCTTGATTTCATGAAGAGATGTCAGCCAACTAAAAGCTGACATTTTCCAGAAAGGAATTCATTCAGACTGTCATATTTCAAATAAGACAAACCACTCAAACTACACTCCATAAGCAGATGTATAATAAATAAAAAGGTGTTTGTGGGTTTTTGTTTTCAGATATAAATATTCACCTGAAAATGAAGAAATAAAATTTTAAAAGTTACTTACCTACAAACATTCATCTTCAAGGTGGGCTGTCTGTACTGTGGATCTTCTGTATATGTCCAGGTTGCTCATCCAGGTTTTATATTCAGAAATGGCTGTTCAATTACAAATAAGACTTGGGGATTTCGTTCAGGCCCTCCAGCAATGGAATTGCATTTTCCTGCAAAAAATACCTCAGATGCTGAAAGCAGAAAAAACAACAACAATCTATGAAAATTCAAGACTTTCTACAAGTCTATGTGCAGCATAGATTTTCAGAGGACTGCAGTGATATGTGCGGGATGACAGGACGGTCTTCTCTTGGTGGATGCGCAGAGGGAGAAAATCCCAAGATCTGGAGAGAAAGTTATAGTCTCCTTGGATTACCTTGCATGGTGCAGGTATAATCTGCATGCAGAAGGCAGAGCTAAATGCAACCAAGCACATGGGACATGTGGGCAGCTTTATCTGGAGCTATGAGGCAGCTGGTTGCAGAGAGAAGCAGTCACACCTTTAAGCAATGACTCCAAGTCTGAATCTGTGCCTTCTATAAACAGCCTTCTTGTTCTTTCTGTTTGCTTTCATAAGGAAAGCAAAATTAGCAAGGAATTCTTCAGCAGTGTTTCTGGGTCGGTTTTCTTATCAAATAATCCTGAAGCCTGTTAGGCATCAGTTTTAAAGCAAATCAAATATTACAGGTTTAAAGAAAATAACTTTCTTCACATGGAAAATAATGGCTATCTAATATGATGGCCATAGAAAATGCATTTTTGAGGCTGATAAGATAAGCTGGCAGGGAGAAAAGGAGTTGGAAGAAGTGGCCTCACCCGTGATAAACAGCGGAAGATCAGCCAAAGTGCACCACAAACACTCTAGATGCTGCCACCTATGTTACCAAAGGTACAGAATTATTCACATACCTGGCCAATAACAGTTACAAGCACACTCAACTGAGATGAGTGCCTGCATGGACAGCAGCACAAAGAAAGCCAGGATAAAGAGGATAAAGCTGTTAAAGGAAGTAGCTAATGGGTATTAATTTAAAAATTAGAATTGAAAAATAGTTTGTCATTCCCAATGGCCAGTACGGTGTTTGGCTTAACTGAACGTGAACTTCTTGTTTCTGTGTTCAAAATTTATAGGTTCAATTTTGTAGCCTAACAATCAGGACAGCACAGCTCACAAGACACAGTGGCTTGCGCTTAGCATAGACAGAACAGATACTTCTAACGTGATGCTAGGCAGAATACTAGGTACTTGCTTGTGCAACTGGAAAGCAAATAATGGAAAAGCAGTCTGAATGCATCATTTAAAGTATTTAAATTGGAAGAAAGTCAATCTATGGATTTAAAGTCACTTTACAGCTCTTGAAAAATTGTAGTCCCCCAAGCTGAGGTTATCAATGCATCTTATTATATGACTCATTGGATTTCTTCTAGAGCTACTGGGTTTCTTATATGAAATCAACCTTGAACAGAATTATTTGCTGATAAGGTGATTGTAAACCCTCACTGAAACAAATTCAGCATATCTGTGGGCTTTCTAAGAGTCATAATGGCTTTTTTTTGGCTACGCATTATTATCCCTATATACTTCCAAAACCTTTCAAAGTAGTTCTGACATGGGCTAATATGATTCAAGCCAATCATAAAGTAACCCTAATTACTTTAGCAAAAGGTTTTGATCTGGGAGCAGTAAATCTGGATGTCTTCAATCAGATGTTTTTACTGCAAATGAAGTGATAACCTCATGGCTGGTGTCAGGACTTGAGATCTGGAGACTTTGCTAGTGAGAGCTCTACTGCACACAAGCAATTGCAGAATTCCCAGAAAGCACCACATGTGCCAGAGAAGGGAATTCTCAAGGCTGGCATTTCCCATGTTCTAAAATTTTTGATGATGTCTCTGTCTTGTAAAGCATCCAGAATCCATGCTGGAATGAGGCTGAGTAATTCTTAATGCCCAGCAGCAGACACACATCTGCTTTCAGTGCACAATGCACCATTCCTTTTACAGCTTGAAGACGCATAGCGGTGGCCCCAGTCACACTTCCTATGCCAAGCTCATGCCCACATCACAGTGTCCCAAGCATCTTGTGCTTTTTCACTTAGACATGAGGGAGTTGCTTCTTTGGCAGCACAGCTCTCTCCTCCCTCCCTGGCTCTGGCTCAGCACTTGTGTCTGGGACCATAATTCTCATCCCCCATACAGCAAGCAGTATTAAACTGGCTGAGTCATGCTGATATAAAACACACAAGAGGAAGAGGCACTGTGTATTTTGCTGGTTCCCTTGTGCTATTCCACTTGCCTTTGACATTTGGCACATGTGGAAACATTCATATATATAGCAAATCTCAAACGTTTCACTCATAAAATAACTGTTTGGAAGACAACTTGTTTAAAGATAACCACGCATACATGAGATTGGTATGTGCTACTGAGCTTTGACTCATGAACTGGGCATTTTTTATCCAAACAGTTCATCTGCAAAACAAGTCAAGGAACAAGCTTAATAATCAGCCTATCACAATCATCAAATGAAAATATCAGCACTACAGTGGAGTTTAACTGTATCAAATCATTTTATCTAAATACTCAAAATAACTTTGATTAAGCAATTTAAAAACTTAAATAGTGGATAAACTTTAAAATGAAATCAACAGTAAAAAACAAAACAAAACAAAACCAACACCTGTTTTTTCTTAAACTTCTTTTGTTTAGAAATTTTTCCATAATAGATTCACCTTACTTTTGCTGACATCCAAAACATATAGAACATACTACATAAAATACCCTAGAGAGAAGCAAATTGGCCTTCTACTGTTAGCCAACTTAATTTTATTGGTATTACAATGACACAGGATGCCATCTTACCATCTGTATCCATGGCCGTTAAGGATATAGCTTTTACTAACAGGAACTATATAGAGAGAGCAGGTGAGCTCACAACTGTCATTCATTGGTTACCTTTTAACAAGACTCATAGCATCACTCAAGTTGAAAGAACCCTCAAGAGGTCTTAGCAGCAATTTGTTTCTAAAAAAACTGCTCAGTACATTATTCTTTTGGTGATCACCACCAAACACTGTGATGAGCAGATCCTTGAGCTATCAGAGACAGAGCTTGCCTGATGCTTTCTCCAGACAATTCAGTTCATCTTCCAAATTAATTGTTCAGCCATCAGTTACTAGAGAAGCAGTTGATTTTGGCGGGACCAGACTTCAGAGCCTTCAGGCAACTCTCCTATCAGTTCCCTGCTTTCCTAAGGGGTCTACCTACATTGTACACTTGGGCAGTGATCTGCAGGCTGATAAACCAAGGTGCAGAACTTGGACAGTAGATTTTTTGGATTAGTAGAAGCTACCCAAATGAATGCATAAAGGTCAACTTCTTTGTATTTGGAAATTAGAAGCAACATCAACACAGAAATAAGGTTAGACTGTGTATCTGATTATTTTAAAAGAAAAACAAAACAAAACAAACAAACAAAACCCACCTCAAAATATTTTATTCAGTGGAGCATGTTATTTTATTTCTAACATACTGGCTCAAGAGGAAGAATTTTGTCCAGCTAGTTATAGGCAATATGTGCACTTCTCAGTGATTTTTTCAAGTTCAAATCACTCACAGATCAACCCAAATGCAATGAACTCAACATAAATGAAACAACAGGAATGAGGATCATACAGTCTAACAGAGCAGAGAAATTCTCATATCTCGAACATACCTGCAGCATAATTTCAGAATGAGACATTCTCAATTTGGTACAGTTTAAAGGACAAATATGTTTAATGTCTCCTTCTTTTAGGACCGGATTCATGTGATCTGTCACTTGCACTGAATTATTTCTGTTGCAAAAAATGTTTTTAAAATCATTGGAAATGTATATGGAGTCATCAAGGACAGAGGAAAATAATAGCCCAACTGGTCATGTATTCCCTAGAGAGATTCCCTGAGCCAAACTTGCTTTCATTGTTACAGCAGGACCTTTTACATCAGCATGGAGGTGGAGAGAAAAGAGGCAGGATTGTTTTATGGTTCATCCTCTGGCATTGCTGACCTGAGCAGCATGAGCTCTAGCACTGCACACAGGGCACTGCCACACAAACAGCGCTATGGACGGTGGGTCCGTCACTGAACATACATTCTCATTCCTAGGACAGAAATGGCACTTCTTTAGAAATGACGAGTAAGAAGGTCACTGCAATATCCTGAAACATGCTGTATCTCACTGGAAAATGGGCTTTGACCTGCTATTTTCTATTTCTAAATATTTGGGGATTTGAAAGTTCAGCCTCAAGCACACATTTATCTATGGCAGTTCAGCTGTCACTTGTAATACAAATCACAGAATGATAGATAGCAGAATCTACCCAGAAGTTCCATTCCTTCCAGGGTTATTCTGTCCACAGTGACCACTTAGCTACATCATCTGCATCTCTTCACTGGCTTTCCTCACCACAAACTATTTTTTTATAAACTAAACCCACATACGTAGATGTATATATATAACATTCATCTTCTATAAAATTTATCTGGTCTTAAACATTTTAGCTGGCAGATTTGTTTATGCGCGCTGTACCTTCTGACATTATCACATTTCCTACTGCCACATGAAAACAGAAAAAAAGACACAGCATCCTTACATTCATCTTATGCTGTACTGCCTGTGTTTCTGTAGACTTAGCTGCAAAGCGTATGTGCAGAAGAAGGGCTGGATGAATATTTGAAAACATTTGTGAGGATATACTGATATTCATTTCTCACTGAATAGATTTCAGCTGTGCTCATGTGCAGTCTCTATGTGCTTATTTCCAGCAAACATGCTAGTAGAAAAATTTACTGGCAGGAATAGTTGTATAATAGTTACAGTTTACACAAATATTTACAGTAAGCAAATTTTCTATATGCAAGTATTCACAGAAAGTTGACTTCTCCAGCAGGAGAAACAGGAGTGGGACTGTCTGTATAGCCAGCCAGAGTAGCTCATGTTTAACTCACAGTACTGAAAACTAGTAGTAATATATTCAGAGCAAAAGAAGGAAGATGAATTACTATTGAAGTGATTACATGATTTCTGAGTTACTTCTAAAGTCCACAAAACTGTAGCTCATAGACTATTTTCAAGCAGGAAGCTATCAAATGAAATGGGGCATTATGCTAAAATTCATCCAGTCCTGCCTTGTATGTTAAATACCCCATGATGTGTGTGTAATTTTCCAGAGTCCAATGAACAAAAACTGGAGAGGTTAATTTACTTATCTTTCTATAAATGGTGCTTCAGCAGTAGCTTCTTTATGCAGAGTTCTAGCCATAGAACGGTCTTTGTTTTCCTTCCACTGTAGTAGCTCAAGTGTGCCTCAGTACTCTCTTGACATAAATTATATTGCAATTATTTCAATCCTTCCAGTTGACAACTGACTTGATCTCCAACATATTCACCTCCCTTGGCTCAGTAACGCTGGCTTTATTGATCCTCTTCTTGGCAGTTGTGGTTTCAGTCATTGCTGCCAATAAAAGGTCGACCCAAGGAACCTACAGCCCCAGCCGGCAGGAGAAGGACGGCGCCCGCGTTGAGATGTGGAGCATTGTGCAGCCACCGCCAGTAGAGAGACTCATTTAGGGGAAGGCTCTCCTCCATCTTGGAAGATGAATGGAAGTGGACAATGTACACAAGATAAATATGTTCATTTGCATTCTACTACCGGGAGCACCTGTTGTAAAAACTACAGTGACTTGGAACTTTGAATAATTTCCTTTTAAGTTCGATAACATTTAAAATGTTCTAGCATTTAAGTGAACCAATGCCATTTATCACTATTTTGGGACATTTTTTCAAAGGACAATTTTTATTTGCACTGGAAACTTCCGCCTTGGTAATCTGCAGTAGGCATTACAGACAGTAATGGCTTCTGTGATACTCGTAAGTGCCTGTCTCAGACTCAAAATGAGGAACAGTTTCTTGTTTGTGTTTTGCTTTGCCTGCCTAGCAATCACTGCTGCAGAAGACAATGCAGACCCTAATCAATAAAGGCATAATTTTGTTCTTAAAGGGTTTATCACCATAACTGTGTTTCAACATATATGTTGATCAGGGATTAAAAGGAAGCATGCAAAAACTCTCCAAAATAAATGTTTCCCATTTAGTTGGTTTTCTTTCCTTCAATTCTATCATTTTCTCTGCTGCCACTCTACCTTCTGCTGAAAAGAATTTCACTTAACCTCTCTGACAAATCCATGTTTCTCTGAATATAAAGGGTATCTCTTAAAATATCCAGCAGACAGAATCTGACCTTACAGAGGACATAAAACCAAAACATCCTAAACAAATTCTGCAAATCTATATACTGCCATTTTCCCATTATGATATTACTTGATGCGTCATTTTATAAAATGATTGTATCTCATCTTGCCAACATCCTTTGGTTGCCAAAAAGGCAAGTGTGCTCAAAAAGTTTTCCAAAGCTTACAGAAAATACAAGCAGCAGCTTATAGGCAACACACCTACTTAGAAATGAAAGAGTGACTCAGCTCTGAAAACAGCCTTGGTGATTCTCATGGAGTTCAGACTTTCGTGTTAACAAGGGAAAATAAATTTTTGTGCCTGAATGTTCCTCTTTTGAGACAGCAATAATACCACTGTAATCCTTGGTAGCAAAATGATTACAACTGCTTGTTGAAAAAGAAACAAATATGTAAAAAGGAGTGGAATAACTGCAAATGTTTGGAAAATATATTGTAATGAAAGAGACTTGAAAATCTTCAAGAGCATTTAATGATTCGTGATAGAGAGGAAAAAATGTGCCAAAAATACATTCAGGTTAAGTTTTTCTGATCTGTAGAGGCAGATAACAGTAACTCATCCAGCCAACTTTCACATGTAGTGAAAAAATTAAAGCAATAAGATATGGCTCCCACACAAATTGAGCCAACAATAAAGAGGCAACAGAGTGGAAACTTCTTTATGGAATTTGTCCTTTCTGCAGCTCAGGTTATCTGTTCCTGCCATTATAAAACATTCCAGGAGTTGCATAATAGAGCACACATACTCAGCATCCAAGAGTTTAAGTGATTGTTTTAACTAATAATCAACTCATAATACATTTTGAATTAACCTCTCTGGGGACTACAGAATATCAATGTCAATCACATTTACTTCCTTATTAGCTCTGATCAGTAATTCTGACAATAAGCACATTCTGGATTTCTGCAGTCTTTCAAAACAAGGCACTGTACTAAATGAGAGTGGATGGTGGGATTCAAATTGAGTGAAAAGAACAGGGTGCTAAGGTTGGAATGACATGACAGCATGAATGCACAACAGATTTTACTTGAGTCCAGTTTACAGCTTTACTGTTGAAGCTTATGATTTTGAATGCAAGCACTGCTGTATAACTGCAGTTTAAATCCACAGTGCAAATAGCAACTAAGTAAAGAAAGAAAGTCAACAAAAGTTAACAAAATAGTTTATAAGTTAACAAAAAATATCATGGTAAAAGAGAGAGATTCAAGGAAGTTCTTTTGAAATATGGCATTATATAAGAATGGCTGCAAATCTTTTAGGCAAAAATCAGCCCAGCATTTTCCCACTACTAAGGAATAATAAGGAATGCTATAAAGTTTGTGCAGCATTATCATTTCTTGAAGTGGATATATATTTGAAAAAAGAAGAGCTGGACTCTAAGAGTATACAACAAGAAAGACAGCAAAGAACTATGTTTGAGGATGTGTAGTGAAGCGGGAATATTTTGTACAGATACTTACACGTGTGATTGAAGCTCACCAAAAAAAGCTACAAGGGATACAAAGTCAAAGCAACTTTCCAGATGGTGAAGATGCATCATAAGCTGTGAGAACAAGAGAGTGAAAAAGAAGGGGAAAAAAGAGATGGAAGGGCCTGAGGAGAGAGCACTTGGAAGGTGAGGGGGAATCTAGAAGCAGGAATTGGGAGCAAAGAGCAGCAGTGGCTTTGGAACAGTAAGGCAGATGCACAGAATGTGCTTCCACATATCTGCTTTATATTCCTGAATTTCTGTTCAATGATAATGGCTGTATAGGCTAAAAGGAGGAAAAAAAATGATAAAGATTTTCAAGTGAATAGCAGAGATGGGAAAAGAAAATAGAAGTGAAAGCAGTGGAGGGATGTAATGAAGATCTAACTTTGAAATCAACCCTTCTTTGAGCAGGAGGTTAGAGTAGATGACCTCAGGAGGCTTCTTCCAGCCTAAATTGTTACACAATTCAAAGAAAAAGGACAACAGAGAGAAAGCAGCTGAAGATGGAGGTCAGTCTGCATGAAGAGCTAATGTGAAGGAAAGCGTTATTGTTCACAGTGAAAGACACAGCAAGGAGGAGGAAGTGGCTGGAAACTCATTCTGCTCTGCTCAGTGGATGGACTTTCTGGATGAAATCTTGAAAACAGTGGGAAAACAATCTGTAATAACACATTCAGGAAAGCGTTATCACACAGAGAATCTCCAGGGCTGAGAAAGATACACAGCAAAGGGTACAGAGAGAGGAAGAGAAGGAAGATGAAAGCCTGAAGAGTTTTCATAAAGACCAAAGAGAGTTCTGGAGAAATACATTACAAAAGAATTTAAAAAGCATAAAAATTGGAAAATTCTCACAGTGGAACATGAACGTGGTTTGTGGAAGGAAAATCAAGAAGGGAGAAAGCAAGAGGAAAAACCCTTAAACTAGGATTTGAATAAGTCAGGTGTGACTGACGTCTGTCTCAGTGGAGGGGAAATGGTGAAAATGGGAATGATGAAAATTTTTGCAGAAGTAAGAGGAAAAAGGGAATGAAGTGAAGGCAAAAGCTGGATCACAGTCTTTCCAGTACAACAAGGGTAAAGCTGGGCGTTCGTTACAGTGAGGTCGTGGAAGAGGGATGGAGAGGTTGATGGAGAGTCAGGAAATGAGATCTACCCAGTAAGGCAGATCTATGTAGGATAAATTAGAAGGAGTGACTTCTATTGAAAGTGGAAATTAAAATGTGAAATTAATTGCTATTTATGATCTTAAGAGAAACAAACAAGAAAAAGCCCCAGCAGCACAAATTCTGTTCTAAATGTACTTTTTGAAAAGCTGAATTAGAGAACAGCACTCCAAGAAGGGCAGGGAGTCAGACTCTGCAGTTGGAAAAGTCTCACAGCACCTGGAGAAGCAGAAAAAAAATCCCAAAGCTGTGGCTACTTAGCAAGCTGGAGTGACAACAGTGAAGAAGCCTGACCCTTTTGGGCCATATTTCAGCCAAGAAACAACAGTTAAAACAAAGGGGAATACACCACAGAGAGTGTCTAATAGAATTTTTGCTGAAATTTCAACCAAGGATTAAGCAGGTGCCAAGCTATTTACTGCTTCTCAGTCTAGGTGTATATTAAAATACATAGTGAAGCACACAAGGAGGAGCAATAACATCTAAGAGTCATTGAGAGCACCTGCAACTCCACATAAAGACCTAAAGTATTTCGAGATTTTCTAAATATCTCTATTTGATTCAAAAGGCATAAGTAAAAGAACTTGTTCATAATCACTTGCAGCCTATCCATTCAGGAAACAAATGCATAATATGGTCCCAAACCTTACACATTTTAATTTTCTCTTTATGTCTACCAGTCTTTTGTAAAGGAAAAGGTGCTAAATTAAAGCATGTGACCTGCTCTGTGCCATGTCCCTCTGAAGATGCACAGAAGCATGGAGAGAATTAAGCAACTGACTCCTCTCTTCTTTCGCAGTCCCTCCTGTTTCCTCTTCGAAAGCTGTGACACCCAGCCTGTGAAGCAGCGAGGAGAGCCTTCAGACAGTTAGAGGAAAGTTTATGTTAGAAAGAATATAAATACTGTGGTTGCAATTTGGCCAGCTACAAATGATCACGGTGTATTATTATGTTATGTGCCTTCTCTCCATTTTATGTAAAATTAACTGTTCCTTCTCCATGTGTACATAGTATATTTATAGCTTAGGTGGTGTATATTACTACATTCTGTGTACAATATAAAAATGACTAATAAATAAGGATTATATTGAGCCCCATGTGACCTATATTTTTTGTTTTATGAGTTTATTTAATCATGTACTTACAAAGGAAATTATTCTCACACCAGGACTGTATTTGCAATTTTAAAAGTTCAATTTGCAGTTTGGAATCAAGTGATCAAGAAACATTTTCCCTACACAGAAATAAGGTGAACGTGCTTTGTGTCTCAGAGAACAGGAACTGCCCCCATTCTGTGTCGGCATCTGCACCACTGCCAGCATTGTGTTCATCCCAGGGAGAGGCACTGTGCCACAGCCCAGGGTGGCATGGATCAAAACAGCTTGCACAGAGCTAATTTACACAAGCCAAGACTCTCGTGCTCTGGATTTTGTTGTTTCTTTTTTCTTGCTGCACTTCAAGCTCCCCTGCATCCAAACCTGCAGTGGCCCCAATTGCTCTGCTCTGTTCTATGAGCTATGTTACACACCACTACTTGTTTATAACTAACTGAAATAATATTTTGTTCTTCAGAAGTTTGAATAAAACTGTACTTTTGTTCAAATGCACAAGTTATTGTGAGATTGAGTACTCAAGTACGTCAAGTCGAGAAGTTTAAATCAGCAGTACTCCTTAAAGCCTGAACTGGAGAAAC